TATAAAGTTTGTTTTACAGATTCTTAAAGTTGAAACTTTTCTCCGTCGAATAGTATAATCGCCATTTTTTTTTTAAACATGTAGACATGATACCAGATAGCGCTACAAACTTTTATTCCGACCGATAGATTATTCCTTTCGAACGTTTTTCCTACATCCGTAAAATATAGTCAATTTAAGTAATACTCGATTGTTACGATAAGGTTGAGATGACGTCATCTTGATTGAGACTCGATGAAAGTTTCACTGATTTTACATCAATTTGACGTCACTGTGACATTGCGTGTTACTTAGGAAGTAGAAATAACTTGTCTCTGGCCTTCAGATTTTCTCTCACTTAATCCCTTCTTTAACAGCTTTTATATACGTTTGACAATATAATGAAATTTTATTTTCCGCATGGCTTAGCTTGTAGAAACCATACTGTAAGCGGAGAATTCCATCTACAGCCACGAAAGTCGAGTGTGACCTTGCTGACCCCGCATAGCCATGCCTCGCGTGAGGCTGGTTTCGGGCGACGATTACCATATTCCGAGCACCCGGTAGCTTGGTGTTTGGGCACGAATAATCCATGTATTTTCAAGCGAAGAGCCGAGTCGCGTGTGCGTGTTTGAGTTTAGCCATGGAGCGCTATCGGTCTGCTCTATCTTAACGACGCCAGATCTGTCGTTCTCCACCCAATCCCGTCCCTTCTCCACCTTCCTTCACCCCCGCCACGACCTGTCGGAGATCTCGCAAGAGAAGTCGGAGGAAAGAAGAGAATAAGAGAGGGAGAAAGGAAACTCACGGCGTGAGAGACAGCGCACAAATATGAGAGACGGGAAGAGAAATATATGTCTGCCACTGAAATGATTGATTCGTCGCGGTCTTTCCTATCGAAGGCGAAACTCCGGAAACAACTTTCACGATAATATCTCTCGATAAAAATCTCTGTGATCGAGTTGATAACTGAACGTTAATAGTTGGCAATTGACAATAATTCTGAAATAATTTTACTAGTCAGTCAGAATTCGTTTGATGCATTTAACGATGTAATTCTAATAAGAAAACAAGACTTTCGAGATCATCTCGAAAGACTATCGAATCGCGCCGCGTTTCGATTGTCGAAAGTGCGTCAGGCATCGACTATTTCGAGAACCGTCTCTTCGTTTGGGCGTCCATTTCTTCCCTCGCATCTCCGAGCTGTGGAAGAAGAAAAGATTCGGACACGGGGCCCCGGCGCTAAGACTGTAATGTGTCGGCTTAACGTCAACGGAGACAGTCACCTATTCCAACCACTCGGGCCACGGCTATCCTGCGTGTGCGTGTGTGTCACGAATCACACGCGAGTACGGCTATATGCCCGACTGACGCGTGAGGAATCCGCGCGAGTGTGTGTTGTACGAATGCCATGGAGAATAAAAAATCAGAAACTTGTAGAATCCCGTCATAGGTATAATCGCCTTCAAGTTTTCCCCTCCCTTTTCTTCGATATATTTCACTTGTGAAATTATTTCAATTATTTTAAAAAACAATTTATGTGTTTCGTTTTACTTACTTTTGCAAGTAAGTAAAAAAATACATTTCACGTAAATTATACTCAAGAAAAAAAATACGGAGAAGCTGTGATTCGCAAGGAGAAAGTACGGCTCGCGGCCATTTCGAGTTAGAAACAGAAGAAAGGAAGAGGCGAGGAATTAGAGATTCCACGGTAGAGAAATCGACAATAGATATCGGGAGGCTCGATGACAATGGCAACTCGATACTTCGTTTACCGCGGTCCGCGCTTTTCATTCTGGGGACCGGGCCGAAACGACGCGACCGACGCCACGTCGGCGACAAGCGTCGCTTAGCTTCGACGGTGGCCGAGGGACGACCTTTTGCCTCCACTTCTCATCGAAAGAAAGCGTTTCATTGCGCCCTGCGCGCATCAGCTCGATTCGCCGTGTAATGGCGGATCTTTTGTCGGCCCTCTCGCTTTTGAAAAACTTCGTGTCGCGTCCTATCCGCTACAAGGAAAATTCTCGGGATATTAAGTATCCATTACGGCTTCACGTTTCTCCCTATGCAATCTTTCTCTCTCTCTCTCTCTCTCTCTATCTATCTATTTTGCTCTTTCTAAACTTGATTTCTCTTTTCCTCCCTAAGGATCTCCTAAAGATATCGTCATGGAGGAAGCGGAAGCGGGCGTATTCGGGAAACGGCAAATGTTTCTTCCGAAGTGCGGAACAATCGGAGTGTTGGTCGTGGGAAGGGACCCGATTGAAATCGGTCGCTGCTCAGCAAAGAGACTTCTCATTTCCGCGAAGTAAACGCGCTGCGTTCGCCTTACGATCGCTCCCTTTCCCGCAGGCAGGCATTCGGGATGCCGGAAGCTCGCCATTAAATTCCTCATACATTAATACAGTTTCAATGTAACAAGTACCGTATAAAATGTAACACAGCAAATGTATCCTACAGTAAAAATGGTAATTATGAAAGCTGACGATTTATCGGTAAAAATCACTTTTCACAAAAATTAATATAAATACAGACATTGTATAAAACACTATGCGCCAATTTTTAACCAACAATCCGAACGAAAATGGAAGATAGAAACTCGCAAATAAAAAATATGTTCACAAAGTGCATATTACTTTTATATAAAAAAATACATGTACATATACTTATTATAAATTATAACTCATCGTGCTTTCACCCGTTACATTTAACATTTCCGTTTGAGTTTTTAACGCTGAACGCGCGCACGCAATGACAGGCTGTAATCACCATCGACTACGTAGAATGTGTTTCTATTTCTGAAATTCGATGGCACACTGGTTTTCACTTTCTTGCGCATCGTGGCAACGGATGTCAGGACAAGTATAGAAATCCGCGGTCGTCCTCGAAAAGGCGCAAGAAATAGGGCTCACGACTCTACCCTCCTGTCTTCCTCCCGCGTGTTAGGGGCGTATCCGTGTCTGTCTGCTACGTATCTTGATTTCCAGTCGGCGCAATCTCTCCTAAGCTAATCGCGATAAGACCGAGGGAAAGAGGGCCCCGGAGAGCGTGCGCCGCGCCGCGCCGCGCCGCGCCGTCGGGGGATCCGGGTGAAAGAGGATTCATTTGCAGCGTGCGCTAATTGGCTCGCGATTTCTCTGTGCGAGCAGACCTCACCGCGCCACACGGACATTCGTCACGTTTGCTCCCGTCACACAGTGAGGCTTTCTGTCTTACCAGTCCCCGCCGTCGCGTCGTGACGCGGAAACAAGGCGATGCACTGTGCGGGTCCATCGCCGAGCAAATCGTCCGTCCGAATTTACGCAGCTTTTTTCCCTTCCGTTTACTCGCATCCTCCCGTTATCGCGTGTTTAATCTCGTCGCGATAATGCCGATGCTGCTACCGAGAACTTCTTGGGAGATCGGAAGACGACCAGCATGAATTATTATTATACATTAATAATAATTCCTACTGGTCAATCGCGTATCTCTATCGATTGATTTACAGAAAGGAAATTTTTTTTTCAAGAGGCGGGATCTTATAAGAAGTAATAATATAGAGCCACAAAATTGAAAATCAAAGAAAAGTTAGGAAATGTCGCATTTATGAAAATGTTATACGGACGCAAATGCTGTACAAAAATCTGTTTCTAATTATACAGGGGTAAAATACGTAAATGAGAGAACGGCTGCGTTGTCTATAACGAAATTGATTTATTGTAAGAAATTACCAATGATAAATCCGGGGACTTAAAGATTACACATGCATTTCTTTACAAATAGTTTGAAAAATCAGATGTCGCATTTACTCGAGAATCAATGGTATGTGAGGAATGGCGCGTGCGTTTTATCTCGTGAACTCGTTAACTCGATGAAATTCCTCGGCTAGAAACCGTCGCGACGCGTGTCTCGCCTATTAAGGCCATCGCCTACACGCTCTCGGTCATCTTCGAGATTTCCGTCTTGCGGAAGTTCACTAGCAACAACAGAGAGTGAGACCACAGTCCAACGTATAACGCCGTGCATCGCGGGTTGGAAATGTCGTCTTCGACGAAAAGAAAAAGGGAAAAATAGCGACACTCTCCCCGCTCTCCCTATAGGTCTCCCCCTTCCGTCTCGATTACGTTTATCGTGTCCCCCCTTCGTAGTCGTGGCACTCGCTTCCGGCGCTTCCGGTGTCACACGCCGTTGAGCACGCTCCACCCCTTCCAGACGGCCTATGTACGTGTGTAAGGACCACGTCCGGCAAACCAGAAAGCATCCTAATTGTTGGTACAACACCGGTATTTCCCCTCCACAGCGTTGCTTTCATTGTCTCGAGGGAACTACTTGTGTGTGTGGGTTCGTGTGTTTGCAAACGGCCACCCGCGTGGTTGCTTCCGACGGGAATAACATTAGGCTTATTCGTGTTGCTTCAAATTCCCCAAAATTTTTGCACTAAAACGAGATAAATATATGTACATTCGCGTGTTGAAGAGAAAGAAAGCGAAGATACTGAGTAGAAAAGAGAAGCTCTATAAAAAGTGCAAGCAACACGACCTATTGTAGTGAAAAATAAACAAAGATTTTCCTCCACATTAATTTTCCGCGAATATCGTTTATACGATATTTCAGATTTCTAAAATTACTAAGATAAAATATTGATGGTATTTATTGTGCGAATAAAATGCTTTGAATTATCAATCGAATATAATAAGGAAAATCATTTGAAATTATCACTGTTCGATTATGTTACGTAAGATATTAAAATGATACCGTTTAACAAGCGATTGTCCGCGATAAGTATTGTGATTAATTCGAAACTATATCGCAGCGGTGCGTTAAAGAGTAACTTTCTCCGTTGCAATTAATCGACTAATTACAAACGAAGCGTGCCACAAAGGCGTAAAAAATTTGCCGACTATAAGTTTCAACAACGTGTCGAGAAGAAGCTTCTGTCCGAGAAAGGCAGTTGTATTATGGAACTGTCGTATCACTCCGTGATTCGCGATGCATCCGCCGTGTGTCGTGGCCAAAATAATAAACTGATGAGTGTTACTCACGTTGTGCAACTTGTAGTAGAGCCCACAAGCGTTGCAGACTGGCTCACCGGCCTGATTCCTCCGCCAGAGGGTCGTGGTCGCCGTCTTGCAGTTGGCGCAGCTGGTGCCCGCCCGTCTCGCCGCACTCTGCAGCGACAGTTTTGGAAAAGAGAAGACACAGATATCACACCCGTTACGTTGGCGTTTCGGACAACCGTCGCGCGTGATCATCTTAGTTATGAGCTTCCTACGATAAACCATTACCTAGGCTTGAAATCTTGAGCCATAAGAAATCGACCAATCACAGTCGAACGTGAGAAGAATAGAGTCGACTTCTATGATTAGTCGATTTCTTACGGCTTAAGACTTAAGCTTGAGTAATAGCTTGTTGCAGAAAGCCTATTAGATTTAACCCAAGCAATTATAAGATATAATATTTTCCATATTTTTCGATTGCCGCACTATCTGCTATATATACAATTACATGTTTGTGTAATCAAATTTTTTCTTCATCTGCAGATTTAGTATTCGGTCCATTTAGTAGCGCTATTAAGCAATAAAATGTTAAAGCTCTCCTATCTCTTTTGCCAGGGTTATATCTGTCTGTATATCGACAATTGATAAGCAACGGTTTTTTATTTTAATTAATTTATTTTAGTGTATACAAATATAGTACATATTAATAGAAAAATGGCGAGGAAAAATGATCGTTTAAATTAAATATTCAAAATAACAGATTCGTTAAGCAATTACATTAACCTTCATCTTATTACTAATTATAATATAAAAAAAAGAAGTGTCACAGTTTTTATAAATATACATTGAAAATAAGACACTCTTATCTTACATCACGCACATATATATCATTCTTTTAAATTTTGCTCTTCGAACAAATTGTTTCAAGAAATACGCGGTGCATGAAAATTATCATTAGACTCGCGCTATACGAGAAAGGATTATAAAACGCGCGACGGAATGAAATACTCTTTTCAAGCACGCTCGAGTCCGTCTACTCCCACGCCAGAAGCGCATTCGATCCATCGGCTTATGCGCAGAATCAAAAAGCCACAAGCTTGACGCGGGTTAGCGTGACACATCAACCCCTCAAAATCCCTCCCGGCTGTCTGCCTGCCGAATCGACATATCCCTGAAAGAAGGAGAGAAGAACCGATAGCGAGGAGAGCGAGAAGCTTATCGTAGGCAAGCGTCTCCCATTCTCAGGGAGTGGCAAACTCGAAAACTCGATCCTGTGCGTACACCTGTGTAACAACCCTCGTTCAACGTCATGCGAGGAGCAAACACTTAACGAAAAGGAGCGGGATCCGTTTTATCCTTCGGGGACTAACCGCGGCTTATTTCCCCGCATCCCGAACCGGTGCGCCGCGGCGCGCGAATGCACTCTCGAGCGCGGGAGAGAGGGAACGCGGGAGCAGGTATTCGTATTATAAAATGCCTTCTTCTTCGATCCTTCCCCGACGTGTGCACGTATATATCTACCTTTCACTCTTCTATACCCTCGTCCCTCTTTCTCTGGTTCTTCCTGTTGAACCACTTAACCGTTAATGGATGATACTGTTACCGAAAACTCAGCGCTGCAGGTAAATTTTAGTGCATCGCGCAATGGACGTTGACCGAAACAAATTAATGAACGATATTATTTAGCTCTTCCGAGATTACGGGCTTTGAATCATTATTGCCAAGCGTTCAACGTAATAAGTGATCCGTCTCGATTATTTGAAACTAAATTAATGCATTAATAATAATAATTACAACAATTATTATTTAAATTTTATTGCATTTAATTATGCTGATCATTTTCTTCCCTTGACGTATTGTGTATTCGTACATAAAATAATAATACTAAATTTAATGATATTTTATTTATATATTATGTATATCACATTATTAAAAAAAAAAACTTAGCGCATACAGTGGATAAGATGAATACTTAACAAAATCGATTACTGTGTGCCAAGATATAATGGCGGTGACGGCGCGCATAAGATGTTTCTTTTACGAAAGGCGCCCACCTTTGACCCTCCACTTTCGCCCCTTGTTCACCCCCTACTCACAAACCACTTAACCCCCCCAAGATGACACTGCACCCTGCAGCACTCGGAAAGGCAGGGCATCGTCAAGCGAAACTATACCTGCGTCATTGTCGGCGAAAGCACAAAATACAGGGGAGCCTCCCGCCCGCCGACTCGCATAAAAGCGAGCTTGTTGAAATTTCTTTGAGCGAGAGGGATAGCACGCGTGTCCTCTACGCAAGACATAAAACTGCTCTCCTTTGACCCGCTTTCCCTGTACATTGCGTCACAATGAACTCTGAGACAGTACCAATCGAGTGTCTCCGATTTTTTTTTTTCTCGTAACGTTTTTCGAGTACTTCTCTTTCGAACGCAGTCTCGCGTTCTATCGATGTTCGGGAACAAATTCGCGGACCAGTGCGTGATCGAGAGTTTGCAGTTTCCGGGGTGGTCGATTACTGTAGTGCATGTCATAAAAAAATTTCAAAGATCGAGAGATAAGCAACAACTGCCACACGCAATTATGTCGTAACGAGGAGCTCTTCTCTATCATTCTCTATGATTAAGATTATTAAATTAATACAAGTTTAATACATATTTTTCTACTTCTCTTAATTGTTGGCCTATTTTTGACACACGCTGAAATTACGCTGCCTCAGTAAAATCTATCGTTCTTCGATCCATTTTTGTTCCGACGTCCATCGCGAGAACGGACCCTTGTTTACCTCGAGAATGGAGCGCAAGGGTCGGAAGGCACGGGAGGGAGGTCCGGGGAGGGACGAGAGAAAAGGTAGGTACGGTGCGGTGTGTAATCATGCCTTATCTGGCGGATCTTATCAACCCTTGCGCGTAGCAAAAGGGGGCCCGCGGGGTGCGCTCGTTGCGGGGAAAGCCCTCCGCCCTGGAATCAATACGCGGAGAGCCACCTCATCAATATAGCCGCGCCGCTATCTGCTCTAGATCTTTGACACCCTCGCCCCTTCGGGCGGGGGGTTGGGACAATCCGAAAATCGCCGGCCGGCACCTACCGGCCATCACGTCGCGCGCGGCTAATGGTTATTAAACGAGAACGCAGGACGAGTTTCCAGACGAGCGGGTTCCGACTGTCCGGGGGATCATTAGCAAATGGAGAATAATTCGACGACCGTGGAACACACAGAGTATTATGGCGTACACGAGAAACACGGCCTTCGTGGACTATCCGAGAGAAATCAACTAAAAGCGATATTTTGTATGCCAGAATATGAATTACTTTGGTATTATACTTTTTTAAAATAAATTTTTCTAAACACCTTAAGTAAAGATTACACTCTGAAAAATTGCATGGGTGAAGTATAATACCATGCGGTGTCCATATAATTCTCACTTGGTGTTTTCTTAACACCAGCATGGTGTGGATTTATAAGCATGGATTTTAAATCCACATGATGATGTCGATATAAACACCAGGAGTTTTAAATCTACACTATGTTGGTATTAATTACAAGTGATATGAAAATTATATAGACATGGCATGAGTGTTAAATCTACATCAAGAATATTAAATCCACATCGAAATTTTTTAGAGACCCTAGATCAGATTCTGGCCACGTGCGAGAAATTTTGTCAAAATTCTACAAGAGAGAAATATAACTTGTTGTATATATGAGTATACTCTCTCCACTCAAGATATTTCTTTAACTCGATCGAATTTATTTTGAAATTGGAAATCGCTTGTTACGACACGGAATTATTTCTGCTTGTACACGATCTCGAAATACAGCTGGCTCCGACCGCTCGTTGCCGAGCATCCGAATGTTCCTTCGTGCGAGAGCGACTGACTGGTCAGGCGGCACGGTCGTGCACGCATTGCTGGGCGATTAGATCCCTGAAAGTATTCTCGTTCTCCACGGTAAGTCCTGTCCCTGCCGTTCGCAGGACAGGAGTCTCTCTTTCGCGCGCGCGATCATCCTCGCCGGCGGTAACGTCGACGTCGATCTCGAATCCGGGAGCTTCGCGTACGAGAAGCGCCTATGTCCACGGGAAATTTATTTAACTCGCGCGTATATCCCGCGAAGGACGAGCTCCCGGTAATTGGCCCCGCGCGTATCGAGGACTCGCGCTGTAGCGCGCGGACAATACTTTATCGTCCGCTGCCGGGTACGTTTGGAACCGGTTGCCTCCAGAAGGCAGAGCTCCGGACACTGACGGATATGACATTTCTGAAGTTCGCGGCGATCTACGTTTCTCTCGTCCCTTTATTCCTATTTTATCTCCCTTCTCTTGCTTTCTTTTCCCCGTAGCCGCTCTACCCCCGCACCCCGCTCCACCTTCCTTTCCCACTACCTTCGGATCCACAGTCGTCAGTCTTTCTCTTCCTCGCTCCTCTTTTATTTTTTTTTTTTATCTTCTTCCTCTTCTCGACCTCACGTTTCCCTCGTTCGTTTTGTTTCACCCCCTCGTTGCCACCCCAACGGCGTACATCGACTCGCTTCAACGTCTCGACGAGAAAGAGGAGATGAAGGAGAGGCAAAGAGATCTCCCTCTTTCTCTGTTTCTCGACGAATCGTATTTTTATTTGCCCTCGGTCTTCGTGCCTTCTTCGAACGAGAGAATGAGCAAGACGACTAGAGGAACACGTCATTCTTGAAATTGAAAACTGGATTATCAGCTTCGACATTCGGTCCGACAGCTAATTCGACGGTCAATCATACATTCATAACTAATTTTTGAGATAAATATGCCTTTCTCATCATTAAGATATAATCATTAAGACGTGAAGAATTATAAAATAATTTAAAGATTTATATGTGTATATACACATACACATATATGTATATCACTAATAATACATTACACGATATATCACAATTTTTTAAGATTTAACTGATAGTTAAAGCTACATTCAGAATGGCCACGTCATGTATTATTGTATTCTAATCAATAAATATTGCATTCAGTCATGTAAATAGCTCGTTCCAAGAAACATCTTATAAAAGATAATTCTCAGACTTTTTAGAAAGTCTTGTAAACACCTTTATGACGTCTTTTGATAATCTTAAAGAGCACGCAAGTCTTAAAAAAGACGTTATGGAGTCATTTTTTACGCGCGTGTTGTTTGTTAAAAAAATTACATGTTCGATAAAAACAA